TTGGAGGCCATCGGAGGCCATCGCTCTTAGGTTGGAGGCCATTGCTACTAGGTTGGAGGCGCTCTTAGGTTCCTTTCTTCGCATGCTCAGACTCTAGTCTTCTCCTTTTTTTGCCTGTTCCTTTCTTTACATGGTAGCCATGTATTCAGATTCAAATTCCAAACATTTGGATCCAGTTCCCCTCGCGCCTTGCACATATGATCTTGGCATGATCTTGGTGGTAGGGTTTTAAATAGATCCTGGTATAGTTTAAATAGATCCTGGTTTTGTTTAAATAGATCCTGGTACGGTTTAAATAGATCCTATAGGCGACAGAGAAAGAGGCCCACGCACCCCCCCAAGCCATTGCCATTAGATTTCTTTTGCTATTAGGAACAGTGGCTGGCAAAACAGAGCGAAGAGCCCAAGGAGTGCCGAGGGAGCGACGGTTTTGTTAGAAACTCTTTAGACCGAAATGGTCCCAATTCAGAGAATGGGATAATCTATGCACACAGTTTCATCTAATCCAAGTAAGTTTGTGTAAGTTCGCGTTCTTATCAGATTCCAATTAAAAAGAACAAAGCAATTTTCCGAACCATTCAGATTTTTCAAACCCACCGTGGAAGCTCCGGCTACAGGACCTGCAGGAGCCCGTCCTGTGGGACTTGCCGACAGGCTATGGCCCAGCCAAGGGACATGATGCCTTACAGTGGGCTAATCTGGCAAAGCCCGATGGTTGGTTGAGAGCCGCTTTTCTTCAAGAAAGCAAAGCATCGCTTTTCTTCAGATCTTGCGAAATTACTTTTCCTTTTTTTGGTCTTTCTTGCGTAAGAACCCCGTCTTGCTAGTGCTTAAGCGCGTGTGAGCGAGTGAAGGAACAAGTAATAGAAAAGGGTTATTGCTCATAAAATTGTTGCACACACGCGCAAGCACACACAATGAACAAAGAACATGTCGTGGATACAGGCAAGATGTATTTTTTTGGTGAGAGGGGAGGGGAGGCGTCGTCGGGCGAAACATTCTATATTTAAGGACTGCCACCATATATGGTACCCCCCAAGATTATGTATAAATACATATATATATATACTGTATATACACAATATGAATGCTGGGGGGCCCAGCGCATCATTTGCATCAAATTTGTTATGCTGAGGGAACCCTCTGTGTGTTCTTTGATTTTTTCCATCCTAGCACCAACAAATCATAGGCCTAGCACCTTATGCCACTCTGAAGTTTTATTTCAATCTAGCAGCTTGGAACACAACCTGGGAATACCTGGGATGCTCTTGAGGCCATCCAGCCGGAGGTCAAATTCCATAAGGAATCAATCCCACAGAAGTTTCAAATGCTTCACAGAGATTGCACGCATCCCAACTCTTGACGCAAAGAGAACTTCTCAGATCAACTTTCCACCTCCGAAATTCATAGACTCCCAAAGCTCAGATCTCACACTACATGGCGGTTGGCTGCATCTCAGCACGTGATACTTGGCATGCTTGGTGCTTTATCCAAAAGGGAGCGCAATCGGTTGCAGAGACACTTTTCTAACTACTCCTGGACCTTTCAATAGGGCTCAAAGAGCACGAAGTGTGCGATTTTAGAGCCCCAGAACCCACGTGGTTCGATAGGTCGTCTGTCCCGTGCCTAGCGCCCTTGCCGGTGGAGCCATAGCTTGGTGGTAATCCCCGTGGTGGCGGACTGGTATACGAAAGCTGACAACATACCTCGCTCACCTAACTGGCGCCGTAAGTTGCGGAAGCTGAGATCAAGATCAAGACTGCACTTACGAGCGGCCATAGCGAAAGGTGATTTCACTTCTTCCAAGTTCCGTAGGTCACTACATCATCTTCATCGACATCACTCGTGGACTAAACAGCGCACAGAGGCCCTCAAGAGAAGAGCTTCTCAGGTGATGTCATGGAAGTGGCAATGGAGTGGCAAGGCCACCGGAAAAGGTTCCAAGGGCAAAGGCCGATCTTGGAACATATGGGGAACGCCGCCGAAGAGGAAAGGCGAAAAGAAGAAGGACAAAGATCAAGAAGAAGACAAGCAGATCTTTCCTGGATACGACTCGCTCAGGTCCTCATCGTCTTTGCAGCCCTCTGTCTCGGAGCTAAGGACAGCTTTAAAGGAGGCTATCAAGTCAACATCTGGATCCAATGCATCGGATGGGAGTCTAGTCAAAGCTGTCCAGCAGATCGTTGGGGAAGACGACGACAAAGAAGACTTAAAGAATCAACAAAAGGACCTCAATCTGAGGAAGAAGCTAGTGGACAAAATTTCCAGATTGAAGAAGGCCAAGATGGAGAAGACCAGAGCATGGACGTTATACAAGGAAGAGCTCAAGAAACATCAAGATGCAGAACAGGAGAAGTTCAAGAGCGACATGGAAGGCATCGATCTGGAAATCCAGAAGGCCATGGACAAGATCGAAGAACTCGACATCGATGCTGCCACAAGAGATATGAAGGGAGCAGATGCCATGGATATGGATGCAGCCACCAACAGGGAGCTAAAAGAACAGCTTCTACTGGCTCAAAGGGAACAATCCAACACCGCGAGAATGCTAGCCTTGCTCCAGACGCAGTTCAATGCCTATGTGGGGCAAGGGGCTCATGGACCAATGCCTTCAGAGCCCCGCATTGCAGCAAGTCCTTCAGATCTCAGAAAGCAGAGATTGAATGCAATAGAGAAGACGGGGCCGACCTATCCCTCACAAATCCCGACCTTCAGGTTGGACGAAGACAGGGAAAGGAGTCCCAGAAGGTCAGAGCCGGGAGGAGCAGACTCACAAGAGTTGAACAAGTTGGGCTAGCTGGCACTTGCGGCCCAAGTAGTCCAGATGCAATGGGGAATTACTGCAGACATGTCTACACTGGCGCCGATTTCAATTGGATGACGGGTGGCAGATGCAGTGGCATTACTATATGCTTTCTACCTGTGCCTTGGGAGGCTTTCTGGTGGAATGTTTTTCACAATAGAGGAGGGCAGAACATTTGCGAGCTGCCTTCTCAAAGCGTTGTCATTCCGATGACACAACAGCACAGTAAGTGGAGTGACTCTGGCGCCCATTTTGAAGGGCTGACAGGCGACTTCCCTTTTGTTGTGATTCACTCATGGACCACGGATGAAGAGCTGGCTGGAACAGGTGCATGCCATTTGACAGCTGCCGTCGGACACCTCTTCACTGTTGATCCTATAGGATTGTCTTTTCCGTGTGCGAATCTGTGCTCTAGACCTGATAGTCCTATCTCCTGCCTAGAAGAGAATATGGCCAAGGAGCACGAGCAAATTTTTCGCATGCACAATAGCACCTGGCTTGAGCCGATATGGGATGATGCCATGATCGAGGCTCAATATGTCAGGATGCTAGGAATTTGTGGTCTGGTGCTCGTACTGCATTGTTTGTTTTTGCATTCTTCTTTGCTGTACCGAATCCAGCAGCTCAGTTTCTACTATAACCTGAGACCGAGAAGGAGAATCGAGCTTAGGAAGGCTGCATATGTTTCCTTTTTGGCTGGTTCCGTTGAGTCTCTTACTTTTGTAAATCTGATGAGCACAGTTAGCAGGAATGGGGGAAGCAAATGGGACGGTTTAGGCTGTGCTGTTGTCCTCATTTGCCTAGTGATCTTGATCCTTGCATGCTGCAGGTCGTATATCAGATTTCGAAGGGATTGCATAGGGCCTTCTGTTCGAGTTGGCCAGATTAGGAAAGGGGTTCGCCTGAGGTTTCGAAGAAACTTGTCGTGGACCGGATTAGTTTTGTGCCTCAACCTTGTCAGTGCACATGCATGTGGCGAGCTTCAGGCAATAACACAGCAGGTCAGCATCCACCATACTCAGACACAAGCTGACCATAATGATGTGAACACTATGCGTCACAGTCAGTCTCACTGGTTTTCAGATGAGTTGTCCATGATGCAGCAAGATGTTCATGAGAACGTCAATAAACATACAATGATAGCTGGTGACACTGTTCTTTCCAGCGAAAACGTGGGAAACACGAACAGGTCTCAAAGGGATGACTATCCTACATTTGAAGACCAGCTAAGCAGGCCAAGACCCATCAGCTCGGATGTTACAGGGATGCGGGGACTAACATGTCACGCCACACCGCATGAGTATGGAATTTTGATGCAGAATGCTACTAGATCCACTGAAGATGAAAACATCCCTCTGGCAGATCTTGGAAGAGAGGAGTTTGCCCTACCAGAGGCTAGAAACCCTCTCCAATCAGATAGTGCTTACCCTTCCGGACCTTGTGAGGGTAGGGACAATGAACCAGTCCGTCATCAGGACGCAGAAGGTCATGGCCTATTGTCCGTTGAAGCTGGAGGTTTACCGACAAACGGAAGCCTCGACCGATACGTTGCACAGGGCCAATCAGTTTTGGGCGATTTTGTCGACATTCATGCACCAAGTCATCACAATGTCGAACAGTCTTTGCAAGCAATTTTGAAGTCTAAGGACCTGAATGAGGTAATTTTTGAGAGAAGACAGCTACATGCCAAGGTCTGGTACGCACCGCCGGATGGATGTAACGAGCATGCTAGGGACATTACTGTCATGCCGGAACAACTAGGCAATATCCGTGAAGCCGTTTGCCAGGCTTGGGCTGATTTGTTGCCTCCAAGTACCTGCTCTTTTGAGCTTGCTAGACCACAGCCTGATCGACACACTTTTGGGATCGCTTTTCACTTTGTTGTCTTTGAGACACATGGGCCCACTGCTGTTTTAATACATCAAAGCAAGGGCTTCAGAGCTGATTTCTGCGCATGCGCACTGAGGATGTGGCATCTTGTCAGAAGTGCTCATGAGCGAGTGTCACACCGAATCTGGCGGAAAGGAGAAGTAATCTCCATACAGCCGAAAGGCACAGACGATGTGTGTCTTCGATGGAGAGCAGCTCGCCTACGTGTCTACAGGGATAACACTGCAACCCTGGATGTTGATACAGTAAATCTCATGCAACTCACAGAATATCAGACAGTCACTATCGCTAGTGCAAGGTTTGCATATGCAGTTGAGCACAGAAAACCAGTGCACGACGTTGCCAATTTTGCTGCGCAAAACTTTGTCAAGCGTGATGATCTCAGAAGATGGATATCTGACCTTCCCTGCTACTCTGGGGAGAGGCAGATTACACTTGCTATTTGGAGGATGCGCCCGATGGCGGAAGTCACTAGCCAATGTGACTACCTTCACTAAGCAGATGGCAACTGGGCAAGAGACTTCCGAACATACTGGAAAATTTCAGACCTCTTCAAGACGCCGAAGTTAGCAGCAGTTGCACCGCAACCGCCAGGGAACATGCATGCAGATTTCAGAAACATCCATGTCCTAGCCACTGAGAACCAACATCTTGAACAGAATCAAGTTGTGCATCTATTCGATGTCTGGGATACAACTGACCCTACCTTGGGCACAGGGCGAACCTTTCTGATGAGGAGAGCCGCGCGATTGTCCAGGGACTTACAGGTGATGCAAATACCTGAATGGGTTGGAGTGCCTCATGCAGGGTCGTATGAGCAAGTCTTTGCCTCAGTTAGGAATCACGAGGCGCAGGAGCAGGCTGTATTCAGTGGAAGACAGCGTCTGCTGGTGCCCGACTTCTCCCTCGTGGACCTCATCCTCGTCAAACAACAAATGGGATGCGCCGATAGCAGTGACATTCACAGTCAGGGCACAATATTGGCAATCAAGGACGGCCTCACCGTCCAAGAGCATACCCAGGTCAAATACAGGGATAACACTGCAACCCTTGACGAGCGGGAAGACGACATCAACGGATTGATGCAAGAACCGCTTCGGGATAGGACAGCAGCGGAGATTGATGAGGAAAGATGCTTCGACCCAGTTCGGACGCCAATCAGGCTGTATCAGGGAGCAGAATCGGCATGGAGGCTTTGGAATCATTTTGTCAGCGACAGAGCATGGTCCGGACAAAACTTTGATGAAACCTCCACATGGCTCCTAACTGAGGGGAGTTTCATACAGTCGATCCCAGTCACCCTCTTCACATCTAGAAGGGGTAGTGCCACATGGAATGACCCTTTGGCTCTCTGGCGCAGTATGGGGGGAATTCAAGATCCGGTTGTCATCATGGTGTTCCCGACACCTGCGCGCGCGGTCCTGCCGGAAGATCACCTGATCTTTGTGCCCTCAGAATCGTTTCAAAACCAGCAATTCGCTTTCCTGGTGGATGTGATAGATGACCTTACAGGTCTGATGCCATTGAGGGAACGAGTGGCCATAAGGGGAAATGAGTTCACACCTCGAAAGCTCGCTACTACACTAGGACATCCTTGTGATAAATGCAAGGCCAAATGTGGCAATCTTCGAAAGCATTTCTTTCAGGCAGATCAGCGCATGCGATGCCGAACTGGGTCATATGTGATTCTCGATGTGACTAGGACCCAGGCGACGGCAGATAAGTGTGCTAATGAGGGACGAGCTCCACGCCTGCATGAAAGTACTGACCA